CTTAGGTACAGTCTCACATTCCTTAGTCTTTCCTCTCCCCCTTTCTCTCACTGTTTATCACAAATCTTGCCAAATTGAAAAAAAAATCCTTTACTCTTTATGAAATTTTTGGTTCCTCAGTAGATTTTACATTTTCAACTTCATCTTATCAAAAGATCATAGTGTGTTTGAAGGCCTCTCCAAACCCCAGGATAAAGTCCACCAAAATAACAAAATTGATAGTTTGAAATAATTATTTTACTGCCTTTAGTATAGTTGAGAAATACTTTACTCAACTCTAAAATCTGATTCCAAGAAGGATCTGGAACAAATTAGATTTAATGGATTGGTCTGAATGCTGCAGACAGTTGAATGTTTCAAAATGTTTTGAATGGTAGAACGTGAAGAAATTGCCACATGACAGTCTTCTTCCTCTGACCTAAGATGGTGAAGCCTGGAGGCAGAACCTGCATGGATGTCTGCTAATGTCCCTAACGTCACAGACGGCAGGTGAATGAACCTGAGGAGGTGGAAGCCATCCTGGGGGAACAGAAACACAAGGGCAGCAACCATGTCATAGAAGGCCAGAGTGAGAGCAGGAGAGAGTGAGCCCAAGGCACTTCTGGACCACCATGCGGACATTGGTCTTGGTTTTCTCAGGTAGAAAAATGAGGATTTGCATAGCTCATCTTCTCCTGAACCCCATTACCACCCATATTTCTACCTACCTCAGATTCTGAGATTTGAACAATGTCAGCAAATCAAGTTGAATGAGTCTCACCGAAGCCTGCTGGGAGGCAGGCATTCAAATAAAAAAGTACACAGACTTCTAACAGCATCTGTGTGTGGTCACTCTTGCCCCACCCCAACTCAGTGACCATGCTCCCAACTTGAGCAATCAAGGTGTGGATGAGCTGATAAGTTGGCCCATTGTTTCCTAAAGCAGTCACAGGTTAGAAAGTTCATGCTGTTAGTGTTTCCTCCTCAAACTTGGGGGACATTTGGGTAACTTGGGTGATAACCAAACTGTACCAGTTACTGTTATAAAAACTGAACCCTGTTAGGGACTTATTGGACTTTGGGGCTTATGTGAGAAGACTTTGAGCCTCATGTTGCATTTGGAACACTTCTTCAGTTTGTAGATGGGTTGGATTTCAGAAAGCTTTGGATGTTTGGCATTCAGAATGCATTTCTCTTTAGAAATGATATTTCGAATGGTAGCTCAGTTCTCAAGCCAGTCCACAAAAAGCCTACTTAAGCCTCAATATGGTTTTGATGCCATAAAACTGTGTATTTGCAATAAAAATAATAGTATCCAGGACTGTGGCCATATGAATAATTTAAAAAATAGGGTAAAAAATCATTGTGTTAAGTATATGATATCGAATGCTGATATTTAGGTGGAAATAAGTTTAATCAGAGGGAAATTAGAAAGTGGAAGCTTTGTGGAGATTCTAAGGGATATCTGGGACATTCCAAAGGCTTTAGATTGGTGGCACTGGTTCCTTGAAGTGGGTGGCCTAGAAGATGCTTCTAAGAAAATCTGGATAGTTTCTTTTTTATGATAAGGTTTTTTGGAAATCTGTGAGAGGGCTGAGAAGAGAGGAGAGCTCTCTTTTTAGTAATAATTGAGCAAAAGTGAGAATATACATGGGAGGAAGAAATTGGCTAAGACAAAATTGGCTAAGATGCATGTCTAACATTGGAGAAAGGGATTTGGTTGAAGGGAAATCAACTGAGTGGCTGAGGAGGAGAATGTGGTGGGAGAATTGTGAAAATCCCTTGGCTTCAGAAAGTCGGGGTGAAGGTTCTCTATGACAGGCCATGGAACATCTGGAGGGTTGGTCCAGTGGTGTGTGGAACGTCCTCAGGAGGCAGAAGGATATGTGGAAACTGGACTGCTGGCAAACACAGATGTGTCAGAGGATTTGCCACCTGTCCTTCTCCTTATAAAGAAACTGTATGGCAAATGGTCTTAGTCCGTTTTATTGCTAATAGAGAATAACTGTGATTGGATAGTTTATAAAAGAAAATTTATTTTAGCTCATGCTCTGGAGGCTGGGGTGTCCAAAAGCACGGAGGCAGCACCTGTGCAGCTTCATGGAGGAAGAATGGAAGGAGTCCCATGGAGAGAGGAAGTGAGAGGAAGCGGAGGAACAGCTTACGGCCATGTTAGGGGACCCTTCAAGGAGAACTAACTTGAAAGAACAGCATTCATCCATTTCATGTGGGCAGAGTTCCTGTGAACCAAACTCATCATGAAAGCCCCACAACCTCTCAACACCATTACACTGAGAACCAAATTTTATCATGAGTTTTGGAGGGGGACAGAACACGCTCACTCCATAGCACAAGTAGGAGGAATTGTAACTTACTCCTGGGTGAAGCAAGACTGAATACTGGGATTTGATTCTTGCTTTAACAAGTATATTTCTGCCTCCCTGGTCCTTTTACTAAACCTGCTTTCTCTGCTTCTTACCAAAAAAAAAAAAAAAAAAAAAAACAGAACAAACAAACAAATAAAAATAAACTAGCAATTAGCTTTTATGCAAGTATTTAAAATTAATATTAAATCAGAAATGTCAGGCAGGGGTTGTGGCTCAGTGGTAGATCACTTGCCTAAGGAGGTGCTGGTTTTTTTTCCTCAGCACTACATAAAAATAAATAAATAAAATAAAGTCATAAAAATTATTAAAAAAAATCAGAAGTGTCTGATGTTTATTGTGCTGAAGATAAGAACATATAAGAAAAAAATGCAATTTCCATTTCACTAATTTCTACTCTGTATTTAAGACAGAAAATACAGTTTATCTTTCCATTCTCTAGGAAGAAATAAATTGCCAAGTGAATTAGTAGCAATATGACTAAGAAATTATTTAATATCTTAAGAGAAAAATAATTTTCAAATGTTTTCAATTGTTTATAGCCACTGATTTGAAATATACTGGTTATCAACTTTAAAATCTATTTATTGATAAAAAGTCTTTTAGACTTTCAGGGCATATATTAAATATAGGTAGACATACTTTGAGAACCTTTAAGTAATGTTGTTGAACCTTTCCTTGAATTCAGAATTTTAAGAATTCATATATTATTCTAATTATTTACTTTAGAGATCTGTTGCAATTTTAATATTGTTACCAAATATTACATTCAATTTTTAGGAGTTTAGAACTTTAGAAAATGAGCAGAATTTGCATTTTTAAAAAAATTTCTAGCTTTGGACAGATTTTTAATGAAAATCTATGAGTATTTACACAATAAGTGGGAAGTACTGGATACCAGGTGCTTAGTGTATACTACCTCTTGGTTTTCATGAATCTGTCAACATTTGAGCAAGTTATCTATTAGTACTATTCCAGTCACTGTAAGTGATTGTTTAATTGCCACAAAGAAAAAAAAATAACTCACAACCAACATAGTGAACATTAAACAAGTTACACAATATATACAAACATATATAAATAGTGTCAGATATAAACTAAACATTGCACTCAGAGACAGGAGTTTTCCACATTATCATGTGCTTTAAGAATCCATATAGTACATGAAAAATACAGAATAAAATATGCAATAGTAGAATGAAACAGACATTATTATTACTGTGTGTATATATGTGACTGCATGACCAATATGATTCTGCAACTTGTACACTCAGAAAAATGAGAAATTATATCTCATCTGATTCAAATGTATGATATGTCAAGGTCATTGTACTGTCATGTGTAACTAATTAAAAGAAATAAAAAATTTAATTAAAAAAATATGAAAAAGTTTGAAATACTTCAATGTTATACATCAATATTTGAAGACATTATTGTATAAGGAGCTACAGTCTCTTAGGATGTTAAAATTATCCCAATGAAGAGTGAAGAAAAAGGAAATGGGGGGAAAATCCTAGGGACAAGTATTTCAAATAACTATGGAATACCAGTGGCCTTATTATTGTTTCTCCATGAAGAAAGAGACTGTTGCCCCACAAGTCCTTTACCATTGAGTCTCCTTTTTGTCTTCCTGTCTTTGAACAAGGAGGCATATGAGTTGACACAGAAAGCCTATTATGACTCCCAGTGACCCAATGCCTGGGCCCAGGGTCAAAGCTGCCCTTTGTCCCAGATGGTTAAGTCAAATAAAATTTTCAGGAAACCTTCCCTTGCCCCATAGTTACTGTGTCCCTGTAGCTACTAAGGGAATATTTGTTCTTAAATAAAGTTGTCTTCTGAGGACACCATCTGATTAACCAATTTTTTTGTTTTGTTTTCATACAAATGTGACATTTTCTAGGGCTTATGCTAATTCGTTCCTTTCCTTCTCAGAAGGAACCTAAGCCAAATTTGGGTCTTAATCTGGATGGGATCAGCTATTTGGACAGTTGAGCTCCTTGTTAATGAACTCCAGCAGACCATCACGTGCACAGGAGGCTGGAGCTTGCAGAGAGGTGGAATGTCGGGGTCCTCCAGACCCTGCATTTCAATAGACTCCCAGGTGATTTGGAAGCATTTAAGAGGTGCAGCGTGCTGCTGCTCTAGGTTTCTCTATAAGCTTCCAGTTTGGGGGTTTTTAGGGAGTCGAGAAGCCTTTGGCAAATTCCTGTATTTTACCACTCGCTATTGACAACAGCTGGAAGAGCCCTTTGTGGCAAAGATGCTTGTGTCTTATGGAAATATACCAAATAGACTTCAAAAATAGAATTTTGTACTAATTCTCCAAAACATGACATATCTATTAATGATTTTGATTTGGTGGTATTGCTCATCAAACCCTACATAATAGATGCATATTGAAATGGGCTAAATAAATCACAAGTTACTATGAGCAATAAAACCTAGGAAAATTTAAGTTTTTTAGGAGTGACATTTAAATTTGGTGCTTAACTAGAAAACTGAAAGGAAAGCTCTAATCAATGATCATTGAAGCAACATAAAATTACTTTGCTATTTTAATTTTAAACAAGCAGCCATTTTTACTTTTTCCTTACCATTAAAAAGTGTATAAAGCTATGAATTAGATCAAGCTCTTACCTTTATATCTTGTGGGTTGATATCAGGACTTGTTTGACACCGCAGAGGTCCCAGAGTTTGAATATGAAAAATATAAAGGAGAAACTCATCCCGCGCAGAGAATGGCCAGCCCACCTCCAGAATGGTGTCACTGATGGTACTCGGTCCAATATTGTGCAGCTGTAAGCAAGTGACAGATTATGGAATGGTACAGTTCAAGGTGGGGATATGAAATCCAACTCCGTCGACCTGTACCTTTTTTTAAAGGCATGTGCTATTGGTTGTAAGTCATCATGATAATAACTCTAGCAAATAAGAAGAAGAAGAAAAAAGTCCATATGGGAATCAGGAACTCTGAAAGCGTGATGTGATGGTGTTTAGAAAAAACTCTTTGGTCTAGTTTGTGAAGCTCTGAAAGTGGATTTCTTCACTGAAGATCATACAGGTTGAACATCTTTTATCCAAAATGCTTGGGACCAGAAGTGTTTGGGATTTTGGAATGTTGCACTTATATAATGAGATACCTTGGGGATGAGACTGAACTCTAGACACAAAATTCATTGAAAATTCATATTCACCTTGAAGCCTAAAGGTAATCTTTCATTGTGACCCATCATATGAGGTCAAGTATGAAATTCTCTACTTGTGATATCATGTCAGGTCTCAAAAAATTTTGGATTTTGGAATACATTTTTGATTTTCAGAATAGGTATGCCCAACCTATATTTGCCCAACCTATATTAACCATGGCTGATAACTGCAATGGTTACCTTGAATTTGTATTAATGATAGCACTAGAAATGCAATTTTAATTAAATGCTTTCAAAACATACTGACTTTTTCTTTATATTTAAAATCTGCCTTTTGTTCCCTGACTACTGACTTGTCAATTGCAACCATATGTGATGCACTCTCTTTTACCCTCTGGAAAATGGTTATCCATCAAGGGCAAAAGCCAGCCGGTACTCACTTCAGTTCATTTTGCATATTTCAAAGCTGAGCTACTTTTGTTTTAATCAGCAAACCCCAGGGAAAAAAGTTCACATCGAGAAAAGAGATGGATGTTGTTAACACACAAGTCCCATATTCACAGTACACAAAACAGCTTGCCAAAAACACTAAGCATATTTAGATTTATCATGGACTTAGAAATTCACTTCAAAGTTAACAGGGATCTTCCCCCCAACCCCACAGTTGTGATAATTATCATGGTCTATGAAACAAGAAAAATTTTTTTGCTTATTTAGGTGGCCTATTTAGCTGACATTATCAAAGAAGTATGGTATTCATTGGTACCGTATATTATGAGACATGAGATTAGCATGTAAGAAACATTTGACGATTGCTTTTGGCACTGCTGGTAATTACCCTAAACTTTTATGATCTCTTTATGTTAAGATCAGAAACAGCACTACCCTGGGAATGATTGAGTCTGGGTGTTTTTTTGCAAACTATAAAGTTTCAACTTTCTTGAGCAGAAACAGACACATGCAAATTTAATAAATTATTTGACAGCTTTTCATTTTTCTGGTGAGGTTCCTGATCTGAATGCCACTGGGACAGGGTTATCCCTTCACTATCAGATGAGCTTAGGGCCACACTTTGATCCAGCTCTGGACAGGGCTTCCAAACCTGAGCTGCAGTTTGGGCAGATAATAGAGGTTTCCAGGCTAATCCTACTCAGGACTTGAGGCTTTTCCCCACTTATGGAAACAGCTCTTCAGTTTGGAAATGGCTTTATAGTTGCCCTGAGAGAATGCTATTAGTGACCCTGTAGCTTGAGATGAAAATCAAAGCTAGAATCATTGAATCGATGGCATAAGTTACATAGGAAAAGAACATAAGGCATTACCACTCTCTAGAAGGGGCCTCAATCAGAAAACACCTTAGAACTTCATTATATCAAAATTCAGTTTATATTACCTTGAAAAGGAATAACCACTCTCCACTAATAGCATTAACTTTATTAACAAACCAAACCAAAAAGCTGAACAATGAATAAACTAACCCTTTACTATGAGTTTGTTTCTAATTGTAAAAAAAAAAAAAAAATTAAATAGTTAGCTCCATGTCAATAAATCTTTATCTTGTTCACAATGTAAGACTTAAAATGGGAAAAGAACATCAGTTTCTTTTCATGTTTTGCTTATTTGCTTCTGGAAAATATTTTACTAACCAATAGACTATTTCAAACTTCAAAATAAATTGTTAATTTCTAATCAGGTTATTTGAATGAAAAATAAATTTATTCTTATCTATCTGCCACATACCCATCTCATGTATTATATGTACATTTTTTAGTATAAGAAAAATTAATAAACTTTTCTATCTGGCACCTTTCTAATTGGTGACCTTCAATGGGTGAGTTTTAAGGTTATCTGAAATGAAAGAGGGTCTAGGGAGTTAGACATTTTTATGCATAGGCTATCCAAATATTAAAAAGGGAGCAAACAAAGAACATTTAAATAAAGAAAACAGTAACAGGATAAAATGTTTCTTACCATGTAATGGCTCTCACCACCAAGGAGAAGTGGCCATGTTTGTGAGTGCCCAGAACATCTCCCACCACCCACTGCAATGTGATAGCATAAAATCTAAATACTACATAAAGCTCAAAACTTGGATTGGTGTCTTTCAAAATGCTGTATGTTTGTTAATAAAGAACATAAAAATAAAACCCTAATACAACTTTAACATAGAAAACAGCTAATCGAAAATAGTTACCCAGCTGGGTACAGTGACATATGTATGTAATCACAGAAACTCAGGAGGCTGACACAGGAGGATCTAAATTTGAGGTTAGCCTCAGTAACTTAGCAAGGCCCTCAGCAACTTATTGAGACCCTGTCTCAAAACAAAACAAAACAAAACAAAACAAACAAATCTGGGAATGTAGCTCAATAATAAAGCATCCATGGGTTCAATCCCCAGTACAAGGAAGAAAAAAAAAACCTACCTCATAAATATGCTCCACCAATGGTCCAACTTCATCCTCTGTGCGGGGCTCCATTTCCGGTTCCCAGTTATGAATGGGCAGAATGATCTGCGGAGGGTGGGATACTCTGAAATATGGAGTGCTGTGTTAATTGCTACTGATGGCCCAGGGGAGGAATGTTTCACTAGTGTACACTGCACGGTCATCAGACAAAACAGGTGGCTTTCGATTTATTTCAAAAGATATTTGTCTACAAGGAAAAACACTGGAAGTGAAGTTCAACAAAATGACTGAAGGAATTAGTGGAGGATCTGAAACATTTGTTCCTATTCAGAGATCAACTATTTTATAGCACCTCGTCCGTGGACACCAGGAGGAATAGCAGAGAGCATTCTTGAGAGGAGTAATTGAACATTATACATTCATCTGTCCATTTACCTATCTGTCTGTCTATTCATCCATCTATCCATCCATCCATCCATCCTGTGTGTGTATGTTTCTGTGTTTAAAGATTATATAATCCTTGCTTTAAGTCATATTGAAAAGTGAGACTCTCTCTCTCTCTCTCTCTCTCTCTCTCTCTCTCTCTCTGTGTGTGTGTGTGTGTGTGTGTGTGTAAATTTCTAGGATCCTCTGTGTTAGATGTCCAGTTGTAAAGAAATTCTGTTTCTGGTTTGAGACTTCAGAATATAAAACAGTCATTGTATATTCCTTTATCCTAGATATTTTTTTCAGTTTCTTATGAATGCAGTCAGACCTCTCACCAGACCAGGTTTAGAGCCAGAACAAAATGAAGTATGATTGAGTTCTAGAGTAGAGAATGCAAGGGTGAGTCCCAAATGCCATTTTAGGGATATCCAATAATTACCACAGTCTCTCGGAAATTTAAATGTTACTGGTTTTTCTCCTCCTTGGAGGTAATCTCTTCCCAAGGTAGAAAGTACAACTTATTGGGTTAAATTCTGACCCAAGAGCAAGTAACTTAAAGTCAGTATGTCTGTATTGCTTTATCTTGAAAATTATGATAAACTGTTTGGGTTGTATACCACAGACAATTGGAAAACATCTCCAATGCTTGTGGTCAAAGTTAATTTGGGTGCATTGTTTCCTAGAGGTGGGTGGGAGAAGGGCATTTCAAAATGGGCAACCCACAAAATGTTATTAGATTATAAATTTATAGTCCCTTTGCATGTCCTTAATGTGTAACTGTTAAGTAAGAAGTGTAGGGCTCAGCTTTGCTGTGCTGACACCTCAAAAACCACTCCTTCAAATTGGCTTGTCATCATGCCCTGTTCTTGTCATTATGCTGTGTTCTCTTTTCCTGCTTGATTTGGTTAAATCACATTATGCTCAAACCTGGGGATGTAATGGGGAGAAGAGCACAGGACATGGTGTGTTGCTTTCATTAGACAGAATCTCAGAGATCATGAGTTCCATTCCCAAAGGCCTTGCCAGCTTCCCCTCCCAAATCTTTACTTTCTTCTCAGCTTGGCAATAGAGAGGGGAGTCTATGCTCAACATTCATTATCCATTGTGCATCTCTGGGAATTTTTTTTTCATACAGAACAAACATAGACCAGAAGCTGAATATATTTTCTCTGAAATTTTGGCTCTTATAGTTTTTAATCCTATAGGACTGGTTATAAATTCTCTAGGATTACAGAATCAAATTTTTAGACCTTAACAGGTACTATGGAGATAATCTGATCAAAACTTCTCATTTTACACACAAAAGAAAAACTGATATACAGAGAATAATGGGTGAGCTGCAGGTGAGCACTACAGCTCACCCATTTTGTTCCAATATACAGTATATTTTAGGGGCCCCTAAGATGCAATGATATTTAGCAAACACAACTTAAACTTTCTAGCAGGGTTCTGTAACAAAACTTAAGTAGAAATATATAAATAAATATAATTTATTGTGGAGCACAGGAAAAATAATCATTAAAAAGGGTCATAACAGTATGGTTTATTTATTTATCCATTGAAGACTGATTAAAAGCTGGGGAAACCATGGAAAAGAATGGGTCCCAAGTAAATCAGTGACACACTATTGTTTCAACGTGAAGATTTTTAGAAAAGGAAGCAAATCATCAAGGAAAAATACAATAATCTAAATTTCTTGGAATGAGCAGCCTGTGCACTAATCTAACTACGTCTATTGAATATTCCTCCCTTCTAAAATAGAGGCTAGAGCATTATTCTTGGAGATTTTCAGTTAGTAAAAAGACTGGTGTACTGTTAATTGTAGCATTGTATAGCATTGGATATCAGACTGGAATTGGAAGCAAGGAATAGTTTTTTTTTTTATTAAGAGAGAGAATTTGTTTTAATATTTATTTTTTAGTTTTTGGTGGACACAACATCTTCATTTTATTTTTATGTGGTGCTGAGGATCGAATCCAGGACCCCGCGCATGCCAGGCGAGTGCACTACCGCTTGAGCCACATCCCCAGCCCCAAGGAATAGGTTTTTTTAAATTTAAATTTCATAATGAGATAATGTAGATTCACATGCAATTTATAAGAAATAATATAAAAAATCCCTTATACCCACAAATCAATCTCCCCCAATGGTAACATCTTCTAAAACCAAGGTGTGCTATTGTATGTAATGTCACAACCAGAATATTGACATTGATTTAGTTTAGATACAGAACATTTTTATTTCCACAAAGATATTCTTTCATAGGCTATGTGTCCCCATTCCTCCCTTTCTCTCTTGACATCCACTAATCTGTTCCCCATTTCTACAATTCTGTCATTTCAAGAATGTTATGTAAATGGAAACATACAGTAGGCAGCCTTTTGGGATTGGCTTTTTCCACTCTGTATAATTCTGAGTCCCATTCAAGTTGTCCATCTCTCAATAATTCATAGTATTCTATGATATGGATGTATCACACTTCATTTATCATTCACCTGTTGAAGGACATTTGGGTTGTTTGCAGTTTGGGGTTAATTCAATAAATTGGTATAAGCATTTTTGGTATGGGTTTTATATTAACCTAATTTTCCTAAAATGAAATTTTTCTGGAATAAAGGAACTAGGTTTTTGACAGTGTGTATGCTGCCCAGAAGTTATGATAATATGTTGTGAACCCTGTTTTGAAATCCTATTACTTTCAAATAGCAAAGACATTCATTTATTGTCAGAACAATGCTGTGGACAGTATCCTATATAGAACTTGGTTAGATCATGATAGTTCCTAATACAAACCCATCCAATTCTGATTATTTCACAAATCCTGCAATTTGTCTTACTTTTATAAGCTCAATATATGTTTTGATGTCTCTAGTGGCCAAATTTACTTCTCACAGAGCTATGCTAAATTGATCCTTTGTCCCAACAAATGGCATATAAATTGGGCCAAAGACAATGTTGGTGTTATCTAGCTACGAAACGAATGAAGTAGTTATCTACAATTTTCAGCTTCAACAAAATCCATTTTGGTTTATTTTTTAAACTGTAAGAGCAACAGTAAATTAAGGAAAAAATACTGTAGAAGATAGCAAGTGATAAAATATATTCAGATGAATACTATTGGACAAAAGAAAATAAAATTTTTCTGAAGATTGAACATGTAAGGTGTTTAGAATAGCAACTGTTCATTCCTTGAAGAAATAAACACTGGAACAAATATTTTGCTGCATATTCAGAGGAAAGAGTTTTACTATATAAAGTGATCCAAAAGAACTTCAATACTGTTTTAGAGAACAGACTTTGGACTTTAATCTAACAATTAAAATAACTGTACCCATGTAAGAAACCTAACTTTAATAAACTGTTTGGATTACTGGCACAATTGAATAGAAATTTTCTTCTTTTATTTTTACTGTAAGTGATGGCAGAAATGCACCTCATAAGATAAATATATGAAAATAAAGACAGTTCCATTAAGCCTTGGATTGAGTTATGACTTATTAAATAAAAATATTTCCCAACTTTAAATTTATTTTGGAATTGCTAAACACTTCCCACTTATTTTTGCGTTAGCCAAATTAAGCTAAGCCAAGCTTAAAGAACAAGATAGAAGTTCACATATAATAGCTGAAAATTTTGAAAAGATATAAAAATAAGATAGTGCCAGGCATGGTGGTGAACACCTGTAATCTCGGCAATTTAAGAGGCTGAGGCAGAAGCATTGCTTAGTTCAAGGCCAGCTGTGGAATTTAGTGAGACCCTGTCTCCAAAAAAGGTGTAAAAGAGAGTGCTGGAACCCAAAAAATTCCACCAGAAATCTTCTAGGACTAATAAATGAATTTGGCAAAGTAGCAGGATATAAAATCAACACCCATAAATCAAAGGCATTTCTGTAAATCAGTGACAGATCCTCAGAAAGAGAAACTAGGAAAATCACCCTATTTATAGTAGCCTCAAAAAAATAAAATAAAATACTTGAGAATGAACTTAACAAAAGAGGTGAAAGACCTCTACAATGAAAACTACAGAACACTAAAGAATTAAATTAAAGAAGAGCTTGGAAGATGGAAAGATCAAAATGATCATACTACTAAAAGCACTATGCAGATTCAATGCAATCCCAATCAAAATCCCAATGACATTGCTCATAGAAATAGAAAAAGCAATCATGAAATTCATCTGGAAAAATAAGAGACCCAGAATAGCCAAAACAGTCCTTAGCAAGAAGAGTGAAGCAGGTGGCATCACTATACCAGACCTTAAACTATACTACAGAGCAACAGTAACAAAAACAGTATGGTATTGGCATCTGTAGACCAATGGTACACAGAGTAGAGGACACAGAGACAAACCCACATAATTACAGTTATCTCATATTAGGCAAAGGCACCAAAAACATATATTGGAGAAAAGATAGCCTCTTCAACAAATGGTGCTGGAAAAACTGGAAATCCACATGAAATAAAATGAAATTAAACTTCTATCTCTCACCATGCACAAAATGCAACTCAAAGTGGATCAAGGACCTAGGAATTAAACCAGAGACCTTGTGCCTACTGGAAGAGAAAGTAGGCCCAAATCTTTATCATGTCGGATTAGGCCCAAGCTTCCTTAATAAGACTCCTCTAGTGAAAAACTTAAAACCAAGAGTCAATAAATGGGATGGATTCAAACTAAAAAGCTTCTCCTCAGCAAAAGAAACAATCAATTAGGTGAATAGAGAGCCTACAGAATGGGAACAAATCTGTACCTCAAGCACATCAGATACAGCACTAATCTCTAGGATATATAAAGCACTCAAAAACCTTAACATCAAAAAACAAAACAAAACAAAACAAAACAAAAAACCCCAAAACAAATAACCCAATCAATAAATGGGCCAACACACTTCTTAGAGGAGGATATACAATCAATCAAAAAATATATGAAAAATGTCCAACATCTCTAGCAATTAGAGAAATGCAAATCAAAACTACTCTAAGATTTCATCTCGCTCCAGTCAGAACGGCAGCTGTTAACAATACAAATAACGATAAGTATTGTAGAAGATGTGGGGGAAAAGGCTGGTGGGACTGCAAGTTAGTGCAGCCAATCTGGAAAGCAGTATGGAGATTCCTTGGAAAACTGGGAATTGAACCACCATTTTTGACCCAGCTATCGAACTCCTCGGTCTATACCCAAAGGAGTTAAAAACAGCATACCTCAGGGACACAGCCACATCAATGTTTATAGCAGCACAATTCACAATAGTTAAATTGTGGAACCAACCTAGATGCCCTTCAGTGGATGAATGGATAAGGAAACTGCGGTACACAGTGGAATGTTACTCAGCAATGAAAGAGAATAAAATCATGGCATTTGCAGGTAAATGGGTGGAACTGGAGAAGATAATGCTAAGTGATGCTAGCCAATCCCCCAAAACCAAATGCTGAATGTTTTCTCTGATATAAAGAGGCTGATTCATAGTGGGATTGGGAGGTGTAGCATGGGAGGATTAGATGAACTCTAGATAGGGCAAATAGGTAGGAGAGAAAGGAAGGAGGATGGGCGTAGAAAAGATGGTGGAATGAGACAGACATCATTACCCTAAGTATATGTAAGAAGACATGAATGGTGTGAATATACTTTGTATGCAACCAGAGATATGAAAAATTGTGCTCTATATGTGTAATATGAATTGTAAAGCATTCTACTGTCATATATAACAAATTGAAATAAAATTAAATAAATTAATTTTAAAAAAGAGGAGGCTGGGGATGTAGTTCAGAGGTAGAGCTCTCCTGGGTTTAATTCCCAATAGCTTAAAAGTTAAAAATACAATAGTAAAAAAATTGCTTATGTTTTCTTGTCTTTTAAAAACAGTGTTTTTTTCTCATCAAGAGCTAGAACAGAAACAGAAATCAATTAAAATAAAACATTTAGCTTAGCTCCAAAAATCTAAATCAAACAAAATCTTTTCCCATGAGCCAACTCATGATTTAAAGAAAAAATCATAAAAGAAATTTAAAAATATTTTGAATTGATTTACAATGAAAATTCAACATGTCAAAATTTTAGAAGGCTACTGAAACAAGTCTTATAGGAAAATAATAGCACTGTATGGGTTGGATCTAATATGCCCTCCCAAAAGCTCATATAATGAAGGCTTGATCTCCAAGGCTTTTACATGTGGGTCTTTTGAAGATGATTGGATCATGAGGGCTTTAATCTCATCAATGGATCAATCTGTTTGGTGGATCCATAATTAATGGACAATCTTCAGCTCTTACCTCACACCAAATACAAAAATTAACTTAAAATTAATCAGAGACCTAAATGTAAAATCTAAGATTATAAAACTTCTGGTAGAAAACACAGAAGATAAAAATATTGGTGACTTTGGAAAGGCAAAATATTTCTCAGGATACAAAGAGCACAAAATGTGAAAAAATTAATCAACCGGATTTCATGCAAACTTTAGAAATTTTTGTTTGAACACAGCTAAGAAAATATAAAGCCATACCTTAGACTGGGAGAAAATGTTTTCAGGACATGTAACTGATGAATGATTTTCTGTTTAGAATATGTAAAGAACTTCTACAACTCAGTAAGAACAAGACAAACAATCACATAATAAATGAGGAAAAAAAATTGAGACACTTCATCAAAAAAAGAGTTGCAAGTAGGCATTGAAAGGATGTTCAATACAACTAATCATTAAGCAAATGAAAATAAAGCCTCAGGGAGTGACTAAATATAAACAAACAAAACATGGTGGCTAGGATGAACATGACTATAGAACTCTCATCCATTGCTAGTGAGAATGCAAAATGGAAATGGCATATCCTTTCTGGAAAATGTTGTGCAATTTCTTACAAACATATACATCCTATGCAAATCAGTAATTCCATTTGTGAAAACAAAATTCTCAACAGAGACCTGGCTGTGAATGCTCATAGCAGCTTTATTCTTAACAGCCCCAAACTATAGACAACTTATATGTTCACCATACAACAAACACCTTGCAGGACATCATATAATGGAATACCTCTCAGCGAAAAAAGAAGCAGACTATTGATACAGGTGAGAAGATGGATGCTTCTCAAAATCATTATGCTAAGTGCACTCTGAATGAATGAGACCATTTATGTACATTCTGAAATGGTAGAAATATAGTGACAAAAACATAGATCAAGATTCCCAGAGTTTAGGTGCAGGAGAAGGACTGACTAGAAAAGAATCTATAGGAATTACTGGGGTGATGATACTGTTCTATATTGAAAGTTTTTATGGTTTTATAGCTCTTCAAACTGGACTCCCAAAAGGCTGAATTTTAGTGTATGTAATTTATAACTAAGTAGATGTGACTTAAAAAACCCACAGACCCCATAAATTATGAAAAGATATTTGCACATGTGTAATTAATAGATTAGCATCTAAATTTTTGAATAGAAACAAAGTTCTGTGCATTGACAAGGAAAAGTCAATCCTTTTTAGTAGAAATATGTACATAATATGAACAAGAAGTTTTCTGAATGTGAATAACTAAGAGACATGAACTTATAAAAATCTCAATTTCATTTAAGGATAGGGAGCTGCATATTAAACTTTCAGTTACATGTTATTTCTTATCCATCAATGTCTTAAAATTAAAAACTGGACCATTTTATCTGATAATGTGTAGCAATGAAAACTCTCATACACTTATGGTAGGAGTGCAACTTGACATAACTATTTTGAAAAAGAGATTGCAATTACTTAGTAAAGTTAAATGGTGTAAACTCTATGATCCTGAAATTTCAGTTTTTAACATAACGCCTGGCTGACATTTGTCCATTGTGTACTGGAAGACATGCATGAAAAAGTTTGTAAAAAGGAGAAAAGAAAAGTTCCAAATTTTCATCACGAGTAGAATGGGTGAATTAATTATGTTCTATTTTTACAATGTAAGACTGTTGTGCAGTTAAAGTGAATGAACTACAAGCATGTGCACAAAAAATGGGTAAAAATAAAAATATTGGTTTGAATACAAAAATCAGAGAGCATACATACATAAGTTTTATAGACAGGGTCCAAAAAACTCTGTCTCATAAGCAGGACAGCATGCTCATTCCTGAGCATGAGCTCTGGAGACAGGTTGCCAATGTACATATTCTGGCTATTTTCTACCTGTAGAGCCTTTGAATTCTTGTACCACAATTCCTTTACTTGTACTAGGATTCTACTATGTAATAAGATATAATACATGACTAGCACACAGAAAATGGTGATAAGTGTTGGGCAGTATTGATAATAATATTATGTTATTATCATCATCATCATCATCTAATCCACTGGGGGGGTGCTCAGTGGTACCCAGACACCTGGGCAGGGTCCCTGTGAGAGCACCATGGGACAGCCATAAGAAGGCCCATGGAGAGTGGCTCTGGAAATGTAGAAATCCATTGTTATCGTGGAGGAGTGTAAACCACTCAGGATCTGTGGAAAAGGAAGGGAACCAGTATTCTGGAACCCCAAGGATGATTGGTCCAAAACACCAGTTGACATTTTTAACCAAGTCCTTGATTGTTCTGAAAAAAGCAGAATTACCATAACAAGATCAATGGATTACATATTTGTACAAGAACAGAACTTGGGCAGTCCATTGACCACTTTCCTCCTGTCTCTCAGGTGATTGCTTATTGGCACCTTCCTTAAAGAACAAGACCAAAGGGAAAAGATACAGAATGTACATTCCATCCACCCTTGCACCTGAGAGTTAGTTATTTATTAAACTCAATGTGTGATAGAGTGGGGCTAAATTGTCACTGTGTCTAAAATAATTATTGAAAAGTGACCTTATTTTCAGGCAATCATATGGTTTTCGGTTGTCTATTTTATCTAGCTTCTCATCAACTGTTTTTTTTTTGTTTTAGTTTGATTACTGAACTGTCAGTTTGGGGAATTCATTGATGTTTTGATATACTTAGAGTTAATTATTACACAAAGTTCACTGTATTTTCTGATAGAATGTTAATGATGAGTAGAAAAGAATAAAAACTGGTAACAAAGTAAATTATGATCTCTAATACATTAGGAATATTTCATATAATTTTTTTGGTGCGGATGTATATGGTGCTGGGAATTGAACCCAGAGTCTTGTGCATGCGAGGCAAGCACTCTACCAACTGAGATATATCCCCGGCCTCTCCACATAATCTTTACCAGTATTTCATCATAAATCTTTACATACATGGAGCTATACCACCACTACTGCTACTGCATGCTATTATATTATTTTTATGTCTTGTTTATTACTTACCCTCTTATTTCTACTTGAGCTACAGCAGTGATGTTGATCTGCAAATTCACAAAATTGCTGTCTGGGTTGTCCTTGTTGGAACTAAAACACAATGATACATTATTTAAATTTATATTTCCTCAGGTGTGTTACACACTATATGACCCTAAAAGACATTCTGATGATCACAAGAGCAACACACATTCCTAACCTGATCATTCAGAAAACAATGGTATATTCATTCTACAAAATCATAACCATTTGTACAAGGCAATGCTAAGATCTTTTATGACCAACAGTAAGGAAACAACTTTCCACAAGGAGACACTTTATCTGGAAATACGATACAGATCTAGAGAAGCCAACACTTTTTAGTCTCAATGGCTAAAGCAAAAAGGCATTTAGCTGAGTTCATTTTCTGGCTTCTACCTTGGACAAATTCCTTAACATCTCTGAGCATCATGTTCACTGCCCATCAAATGGGAAACGACAACACAGTCAACTCCTGATTTTCCATGCTTATAAAGAGGGGAACTGGCATGAATAATCCAGAGCAGCACTTAATTGAAAAAGCATTTGTGTTTGGCTCTGGAATGCCTCATACCATACATTGTTTTGGCAGCAATTTTATCTTCCTCTTGGTTTATTACTTAAGTTAATGTTAAAATAAGTGTATGTTCATGGCATACTCACTGTCTGGGAGAGGAGTGGGGAGTGAATTGGAAACATGGCTAATGGCAAGGAGAAATGAGACCCAAGGAAGTTGGGCATTTCATAAACAGGCCATTCAGAGGTGACATGGATCTTTCTGAAAAGCATCAAGAGTCTCAAGCTAGAAAGTGTGTATTTAATATGATATTTCTTTGAACAGTGACAATTTTTTTTTTAATTTTGCTGTTTTATTATAAAACTACCCATCACTTGGATTTAAGGGACAAGATTTGACGCCATGGTGATGGTAATGGGGTAGTTTCTGTCTAGATTTTGAAGCTCTCAAAATGTGGGAGCTGGAAAGAACAGGATGAAGTCCTGCTTTCAAAGGAAAAAGAGACAGAATTGTTCCCATGATGCTTTTGCAAAGTCCTGATCCTATTGTTTGTACTGATAAGGCAATTTACCCAGCAAATACACATAGCAGATATAAACAGGCAGGTGCCAGCATTTCCTGAAGTGGAGCATCACTGCTAACCTAATGAAGGAGCCTACAAGAACTTTTTCAGTGAAGTTTGAACTCCAGTTTCCAGGCCATTCATTTAACTATTATCACACCTTTTCTTTTCATTCCTCACCTCTCCTCCTCTTCTTTCAAAGGCAGGATTCAAATTTCTAACCACCAAGAAATCATTACCAAATAATTCTATTTGTGGCAGACTTTATGGTCCCAAATGTACTGAGTAACTCTTTAGTTTTGAAATTGAAATATCCTTGCTCCACAGATTAGCCAGATTTTTTTTCTATTTCCAGTTCATTACTGCTTTGCAGTAGTGTAAATCAGAATTATGAAAAAGTATCATTTAAGCTATTGCATAATAATTCCATTGAGTTTTGTTGGTAATTAGTTTAGAGAACAACATATTCACTATGATATCCTGAAAATGTAAATGAAGGTCAAATGTTGAAATTGTCTTTGAGTTTCAGTCTAATATGAGGCTGTTAGAGGCTGTTTTAAGATGCAGCAAGAGCAATGGCAGATTCAGAGTCTGAACCCTCTGGTAGATTAGTCAGAATCATCTCCTGAGACACAGACTACTGAGTACCACTGGAGTTGACAAGATCTCCTTGTAATAAAGGAACCAGGTTGATATACAACTTAGATGTTTCTCTGACCTTCCTGGAAGGAAGTGTCCCTCACAAATACCCCTGCTACATTCAAACAAGCAATCCATCACTGCCACAATGCTGAGTTATGCAAGGAAGGATGGATTTCCTCTACATGACTACGTCTTATGGCATAAACCACAGAAAAACATGTTTTTTACTTTGTTACCCAAATGCCATTTTCTTTTTCCCACTGTTTCCTATTTTCTAACATTCTTTTTATATTTTTCTGTGGTCCTTGGGATGTCAGCAAAGACAATATAATGTTCATTTCACCACTACTTAGGAAGTAACTTCAAGAATAATTGCAAAACCCCGTTTGTATGTGGGGACTGCTGTGTGAGAACCTCTCTACCCAGGGAGGGAAATGTTGATGTCATTTAGATCAGGGGCATGGAAAGACGGTTAATTCAAATATTTGCTAATAGAAAATATTTTAAGCTTATTAACTTATAAAAGCCCATTTCTCTTTTTTTTTATTTGTAGAAAAGGAAATTAGGCATAGGTAATGGTGATCAAGTATGGTTATAAGAGTTCATACTTCATAGCATTGGTTTAATTTATTTTGGGTTTAAATGCAGTTAAACTGAATATAAAACTACCCTCTCAATTCTTATTTACATCTTCAGAGCCTTCCAGCATAAGCAGATAAATGTCCATCTCTTAAATACTTTTAGTATTTGAGTTTTAAAAATATTCTCAAACACTTTTATCTCTATAATATATATTTTGAGAATTTGATGTTTTATCTATGTTCCTGTTCTTTCTGCATATCTGCATTCTTATTTTTTAGTATAATGTTAAAATAGTCATGAGTAGACCTGAAATATAATTATGATCCATTGTTAGATGAAAGGGGATGTTAAAGATGTATCCATTTCTATTTTCTGTCCAATTCAACATTTCATTATTGAATTAATTAAGTGATGCTCTAAAAGATGGATTTGGATGTGGCATTTACAATATCATATAGTGTATTTTGCCTCTTCAGTTAAATTGTTTGCTTCCATTCTTTCATTCATAACTGCAATCAAGAGAAAGGAGGAAATACCAGTGAATTTGCTTGGCACTTTCTTCCTAAATAAGGCCATGCATTTTTATGAGAGACATATCTTTCCCCAAGTACATAAAGCTTCATGCTCCTGTAGGATCAATGGCATAGGCAACGATAGAGAGAAATAGAAGCTTCAGGCGAATATCTAGAGTGATGTGGGTCCTTCACTTTGGCGCTTTTCCCCTGTAAACTCAGTAATACAAGCATAATAGTTCCGAACTGAAAATATTCACAACTATCTGAACTTTTTTGGAAATACATTGTTTTGCCAATATAAAAAAGCGATTTAATAATCTTTTGGTAACATGAAGAGATATTTTTTGAATACATTCATTTCATCTGCATCTCATTGCTATCTGGAGAAAATAAAAAATGTTCTAAGATTCAGCAGAAAATATTTAAGTTAAATTCAAGAAATACCTAGGAAAAGTCAGAAAAGAATATCTAAGTTAAGTTAGAATACCTTCCTCACAAGAGATCTATCACAAAGTGTGAGGAAGGGTGTTTTGTGATGCAAGTTGCAGATTTTTAAAAATATGCTATACTCTTCTAGAGTTTATATATTTAAAAAAACTCTAAACCTTTCATTGATGTAGTACTAAAAGGTGATCTTTTGCACAGAATAATTGTTCTAAAAATTATCGCATGCTAATGGCACTTCTTGAAAGATATTAAGATAAATTTAAAGATTAGTCACATTGCATTGCTATTAGAGAACCAAATTCTAAGCATCAAATTGTAGTCATTTCTATCATTAGAACAGGGATTCAAAATGTTGAGCAAATTATAACTATGGAAGGCACATATGTGCATCTATACCAGAGTTTTTTGAAGTTTTAAAACTTTACACCATATTATGGTTTGGATGTGAGGTATCCACCAAAAAGCTCATGTGTGAGACAATGAAAGAAGGTTTAGAGAAGAAATGATTGGATTATAAGAACCTTAATCCAACCATTGAATTAATCCCTGATGGGGGTTAACTGAGTGGTAACTGAGGCAGGTAGGGTGTGGCTGGAGGAGGTGGGGCATGGCTTTGTGGTATAAATTTTGTATCTGGTAAGTGGAGTCTCTCTCTGCTTCCTGATCATCATGTGAGCTGCTTCCCTCCACTACTCTTCTTCCATGATGTCCTGCCTCACGTTGAGTCCCAAGGAATGGAGGCTACTGTCTATGCAGTGAGATCTCTAAAACTGGGAGGCCCAAAAGAAACTTTTTCTCCTCCACAATTGTTCTGGTTGGTTCTTTTAGTCACAGTCACGTAGTAGCTGACTAAAACAGACCACAAAAAGAAAATACCTATCTACTTCACAAGGTACCTGCATGTGTATAACCATGCCTAGATCCTTTTCTTTTAATATGGATTTTGAGCCATTAAACTGATTCCATTCCCAGCTAATGGGTCGAAGTGCCAGGAAGCCTTGACCTGCATGCCTCACTACTCTGTGGGTCTTCCTTACCACTTTTGGTCATGAAGGAGCAAACAGAATAGACAATGAAAGGACAAAGTTACAGCTGAGTTCTTGAACAGGATCATCCTTAGAAAAGGGAGATGGCCATCTATGTGGCTCAGTTTATCATTGCTGGAAAAGGCTCTGCCCCCCAAATATGATATTCTGTTGCCTGCATTGTGCTCCCAAGTAAACTATCACAGACTTCTTCATCCTGAAAATGTCAGGCAATTTCAAGATTGCACATGCAAAATCTATGCTTTTTTTGTAGATTTGCAGTAATTACCTGATGCTACACTGTGACTATGGGGTGTGGTGGGGGAGGGAGAAGTCATGTGTGTGGAATGAGGGAAAGTGGAGGGGAAGTGAGGTGAAGGGTGTCCAGGACAAAATCTGATTATCTCATAATGAGGCCTATGAAATGCAGACTCTGTGTCAAAAGAAAAATGTTGAAAAAACTGAAATAATTTGAGAAAAATGAAGAATAGCTGATCTGTGAAAGTCTAGGTTCTGATTTCAGAAGAATTTTTCATATAAAAGAGCTTGTAAGTGGCAGATATTTCACTATGAATCTCTGCTCATGAGTGCTGTCCATAATGTGAGCATTGAAAGGTCTAACCTTCTGATTTGGAGATCGAAGTTAATGCTCATGTTGGTTTTCTCAAGACGTGGAACTGCAAACCGGAGGCCCAGAGAATACTGAAAACAATGACAACAACAACAGAACACACAAAGGACACAAAGTTATTATGTGAAAATATTTCCTAAGTAATTCCTCCAAAAATTGAGACTTAGTCTCTGTAATATCCTTTTATCTGCTTCTGCCCTGGGTGACTGAGAGCTGAGAGGAAGTCATGGAATCAGACTTCAGGGGTCCAGAAGATTCAAGTCAATCTATATTTTGTCCTGTACCCCTTCTTTGTATGTCACCTCCCTAATGCATTTATTGGCATCAACCCAAATATATGAGAGGATTGGTTCAGAAATCTATGATGCTTCCGTTTGATAGACATTATATAGTTGTTTAAATTATAGCTATAAGGTCAATGCAATAATGTGGATGATGCTGTTGATGTAATAGTGAACAACAAAGAATAAAAGTTACAAAGTTCTTTGTGTAACTTGTTTTAAAAAGTCTATGCATGGAAAAATTACCACATGGGAGTGGGGATGTATTGGAGGGAAGTATTCCACAACAATATGTTAGGTTAGGGTTATGGTTGTATGGATCATTTTTTCCTCCTTTATTTCCAATTTTTTAAAAAACTGCTCTTATTATTATTAATTTTTGCTCTATTATTTTTATAATTTAAAAATAGGGGCTGGGAATGTGGCTCAAGTGGTAGCACGCTCGCCTGGCATGCATGGGGCCCTGGGTTTGATCCTCAGCACCACATAAAAATAAAATGAAGATGTTGTGTCCACTGAAAACTAAAAAATAAATATTAAAAAAATTTAAAAAAAGAAAATAGATTTTAAAAACGGAGAAAACAATCATATAAAATGAGGAAGTTGGAATAATAGTTAACATGTCTACAAAATTACATTATTCTTCCAAGCACTGTACTATGCCTATGTGCCTCATGTCCTGTAATTAAGACAAGCACTCTGAGATAGGTACAGTGGTTGACATTTTATAAATGAATAGCAATCTGAGGATTAAAGAGATGTCTTGCTCCAGGTGCAGAGCAATAAACTACAGAGCAGGAATTTAAACCCTTGCATAATGACTCCAGAATCACAGCTACTATACTATGAGAATAAAATCGAATCTAAAAACACATTAATGAGAATCAATAAAATTCTAAGAGTAAATTATCATTTTGGTCATAGATCATCCTCATTATTTCACTGGACTTTATGGAATGTGCTAAGGGCTAAACACCATCCTAGTAGCTTTACTTACACCATCTCAGTGTCTTACTTCAAAACTTCCTACAAGTAGGTTTTTCCCCATTTCTCTGTGACTTGCCCAAAGTTTCATAGCTGATAAGTGGCAAAAGCCTGTATTTAAACCAAGATGTATCTTAATTATAAAGCATGTGCACCCTCATGCTCCAGTAACAAGCAAGTCCTTTCTAATTCCAAATGGGTGATTTTTTTTTTTTTTTTGGTCAGGCCATTGCTCATGCTCTTTTCTTTGAGAGATTTTTTTTAAGCCTTTTGCTACTTGAAGAACTCCTACTTAGGCTTCAAAACTCAGGATTAGAGTTGTTGTCTAAGTTCTGTAGTCATCGGCCAGGCCAGGAAGAATTTTTACCTCTTTATTCTCGGTCTCCTTGTACTACTCTACCACAACTCAAATCTATGACTTTGCAAATTTAGATTTTCATATTGAAAGGAAATTGCGTATTTTCATATTTATATTGTCAGATTCTAGTTTAGCAAGAGGCATACAGAAGGATGCAGTAAAAATTGTTAAAAGAATGATGGGAGGGTGCCCTTGTTTGCACACACCCATGATGGGAATTGTACAGTATTGTGAATGAGGCTGCTTCATGTTGGTCTTCAGTATAGAGCAGTTCACAAGGATGAAGACAAATCAAGGCATGGCAAGGTCATATTGATAAGAGGCACATGTGGTCTTAACTCATACCTAACACCAGATCTTGGGATATTCATTTCAAAATTTTTTTTGATCTCCCCTCCTTTTTTCTCTTTTCATTTTCTTATTATAGAAAACTTGCGAGTTGTTAGGAACCTTATTGTCGTGAACTGTTTTCTATTATAACTACTAAAGGAATATGACTTTACTATTTAAAAATCAGAAGTAAAACTTCTAAATACTACCTTGAGTGTTTTGTTATGCTAAAAGTCACTTGGAAATTAATTTTTTGAAAATATTGGGACTGAGATAAATATTCCTGGTGATTTATGATTTTTTAAAAAAAAAGATTTAGAGCTGCATTTCTATTTGGAATTTTACTACAATTCACTGAGAGTCTTTTAAAAGTACAAAATGAAGAAGTAAATAAATCAAAGTCTTTTATAACAAAACAGAATGCAATAAAATTTGATGTGTTTAAGGGCATTAAGGGGTAAGATAAGAAAGCTATTAGGTTTCTCCTACTAGAGAACTCGGAGATAAATGAATGTAAACAATTTACTTCCCTGACTTTTAAAGATTATTTGCTGGTAAAATGGATTGACATCCTTTCACATAAACACATTTGTGGTTCAGACCACACCGCCATTTTTACCCTCCTTTTTGAATGACACTGGTGGCCAGTTTTTGCTCCAAGACGATCCTCTGTTATCAATGACCTTATACAAACTCTAGTCCAGATTTAACACTTACCAATACTGGAGAAGGACAGAGTGACTACACCTACAGATGCTAACTCTATGGCACCATGTCAGTTCATTTTCATTTGTCCTTAGGTAATCATATTGGGTGGTTGGATATTTTTCTTCAAAACTGGCAAAAGAATTTATTAGCTTCTAACTAAAAAGGATTATAGTGAAAAATGTTCTAATATCTCAGTTTGGACATCCCATTCTCTTCCATGGAGTCATTTTAAAGTCTCATCTGCTCTTCATTAGTTTTTATCCAAATCCTCTCACAGTTTTGCAGACCAGACAGAGTAAGGTCTTTGTGGTTAGGCCTGGTTTAAATCTAGGTTCTGTCTTCAACTTCTGTGTGACTTTGGGTAATTCATTTGATTTCTTTGTGCCCCAGTCTCCTCATCCATAAATTGCAGGAATACTTGACTCATGGGGTTGTTTTGGAAAATTGAATAAAAGAACACAAAAGTACCCCCTTTCTCCAGGGATGGGTTTATAACACACAGGAGAATTGATCCATGTTACCCAACAGTAATCTGTTAGAGGAATTTACCTTTCACTTAAATATTTTTTTGACCCAAGAAGTAAGTTTACTGGACTACAGCTTGGTACATTTTTTTAAAATACCCAATATCAGTGTACAGTCTATATAGTCTATATTATTCTTGTTTATATCCTGAAGTATAAATTGGGAATATATATTATTTGAGAAAAAGGTTTCACATGCTCAGGTAATTTTGTGAAGCATTGGCCTAAAAGATTTATTTACTGGAAGGCTTCTCTGTGTGTGCCTAGATCTCCCAGGGAAGGACAGGATGCTCTTAGTGACTGCAGAGCTCCCTTTAAAAGGATGTCCAGAGGAGCAGCACTCTTTAGAATCCATGGAGAAGTCACTTGAATACAAACCTACATATAATTATAACTTTTCATAAGATTTTTCAAACAAACCATTTCATTGATAAATATGAACACTAATTTTAAATCTAAGAATATGTTAGTTCAGTTTATGGAAGATTTAATTATGTAGTATTTTCAGATTTCAGAATTTTTTTTCCTGCCTTATGACTTTATAATATAATTGCCATGATGAGATTTATTATAAGAAGTTACTATGTGTGGACTTAAACTAGGATTACATAAAAGAAATTGATTGTCCATAAGTAGTCCTGAGTGGAAAGTTCCTAAATCTGGAAACAGAAGTAAAAGAAGGAGGAGAAGGAGAAAAACAAATAACTCCTATTCTTTTACAAGCATGTTAGAGAAAGTCATCAACCTTTTTGCCCTTGCTATCAACAATTTTCTGTGTTATTTTTCAAATGAATACCTAGCACAGTTGATTCAAAAGCTACAGTATAGCAATAATTTAAATATGAATACTGTGAATAATATCCATATAGGAAGGTATACTGAAAATAATAGTTAAACTTTTTTTGCTAAAATTAAGTTATTTTAAGTCCCCCCCGTACATTTTATTTATTTTTTAATTCAAGGGGGAAAGTCTTTATAAAATTAAAAAAAATATTAAAGGAAAAAAATCTAGGAAGAACATCTTCATAGATTTGCTGAAAAAGACTCAAATGTAAAGTCTAAAAAGAAACCCTGTAAAAGTCAACATCTTTTTGTATTTTTGACCTGTGATCATCAGTCTATGGTTCTAGTGCTAAATTCTTCCACCTTGGTAATTTCCTGCCTAATTTGTCTTGGGTGCTGTGTGCTAGGTTGATGAGTGCTAATGGGGGAGTACGATTTCTCTGTAAAATTCAATTCGACGGAAATTGGTACATTCTGCTGGTTTTCTCTTACATTTGTTCCAGCCGCCATAGGGTTCCCAAGGTCACACACCACCATCCTGGTCACATTTTCCATCTTGTACTCACAGCTCAGTGGCCGCAGTACCTACAACGGGAAAGAACACCAGCTTGGATTTCAAGGGGCAGAATAAATTACATCCCGGACATGAAGCATGTGGGGCCTGGGAGCTGCCCTTGATTTCAAACACCTGTGTGAGAAGGGCTGCACAGAAATTAATCTGTGACCACTGACTCAGAAGAAATCTGAGAGAAAAAGGGGAAAGTAAAATTTTAGAAGAAAATGTGTTAAATGGTAAACATGGGCTTCACCGAGGAACACAATGCTCATATTCACGTGAATATTTTGGACATTATTTTCACTGATGTTAATGTGTAAATCAGGGCATGAATAAACAGACATTCCTTATGTTAAAAGCGAAATTTCAAAAGCGAAATCCAGTAACATGTATGGTTCATCACAAGACTTGATGAACATTTGCAAGAGAATTTCCTTGAATACAAATTTCTACCCATCATGGTCTTGTCTAGAGTTAATTTTGTTCAATACTCCAAATATGCAAAGAGAAGACTTTTATACTTAACTAGTATAATTCCAATCTCTTTGCTTCTCCCTATATCCTGTTTTGATTAGAGTTTATAAAAAGTCAACTTGGAAGAACTCTACCCTAGAGAAGGGGAGGTAAAAGGAGTTTATCTTTGCTGCCTTCTGCTCCTCCCACCTCTACTTCCTGTCCTCATGCTACTCCCAGCTGCCTAGAAATCCCTCCCTCGACTCTCATCCTGACTCTTTTTCCATAATCTGGAACCTACTGGCCTATGCCCCTGCTCTCCATTGGATGATAGCTACTTACACTAATCCATTATCTTGCTCTAACTATTACATGTCATCAATTCCCAAAGATAACCTTGCAATATGATTATTTTTTACAATGGATCACCCTTTTGGGGATTTCTGTCCTGGAGATAATTCCCACCAAGATGGTCCTTTGCCTATCAGAAGTGTTGAAATTTTATGGAAGGAAGAAATGTGAAATTTTCAAGTAAAAGTATTGGAAAAGATCCTCTATTTCTTTCTTTCTACTTTAGTAATGAAAAACCCCAAATCCAAACCCAAATCAAAACAACAAACTCTAAATTCCAGACATCCACATAGAGAATTCCCTAGGCAAATCACACACTTTGAGACTTCAACACACACAGTCTTAACTAAAGGGAAAGGAGTAAATCACTGACATTTGGAAGCACATTTAACACACGCTCTCTCCAAATACCCTGAATGACATGTTAGTTACGCTGAAGGAACCAAAAAGCATATTTTCCAAAAGCTGGTCATCTTCTCTTTTCTAAAGTTTGATTTAGCAAGTATTCAACTTCTTAAAATCCCATAACTAATCCTAATTACACAGAGATGTTTCATGTTGAGATTATTAACTCAGACACAAAGACAGAATAAAAAGCTTTCACAAGTGCCCATATGTCCCTTGAATATAATTCAAGGATTTAGTTTCTATAGAAAATATTTTTTCATCTTATCTAAGTCTTAAAGGATAAATGAGGACATTTTCCCAGCTTTCTAGAAATAGTTATTTGAAATCAATCAAAGGTTTTTCTCACTCCCACATCCCCTCCACCCTCTGTCTTTTTTTAACCTTTATTTCCTTTCTACGAGAGAAACAATGATTGTTTTTCTAGATATTTCTAGATTATTTTCGTCAGCAGTTCCAGGAACATTTTGGTTCTAATCTGTTTATAGCTCTTAAAGTATGATTCACTCACATATTCATCCACTAAAAATATTTACTGTGGACCAGCTATTTATCAGGTTTTGATAGATAAGATCTTTTGCCCTCATTGAATTTCTAATTAATATTATAATGGTAGCAAGTAAATTACCAGCCATTATAACAAGCAATGGAAACATATTATTATGTAGGAGCTGGTAAGTTTTATAACAGGAGAAATAAATCATGATAAAGGAGAACATACACATGGATTTGAGCAATTGGAGATGTCCTGGTGGGGGTGGCATTTAAGTTGAAGGGGACAATGCTTGCCAGTGGTTAGACAGGTGAGATTTGAATCTTGATTCTGCTAGAAACAATGACTGTTGTAATCTTGGGCATGCTACTTCATTTCTCCTTATCTAAAAAACAGGTATCATGATAGCAGTTTCTCTATAAGGTTGTTATGGGGCTTGAATAAATTATATACCTACAAGAGCTCCAAACAGTATCTAGCCCATAGCCACTGTTAATAAATATTAGCAACCTCAATTATTATTAAGTCTCAGTTATTAGTACATCTCAATTATTATCAGTGTCTGAAGGATGAGTAAAGAGAGGTAAGTTAGGTGAGCAGAAAGAACCAGTAAGCCATGGTGAGGCTAAAGAGGTGAGCTGGGGTGGCAGTATGAATAGCTTCAGAAGTCATGTGAAGGATTTGGATCTTATTCCCCAAACAACAGGGAACTGGTGAAGATTTCAAGTCAGAGAGTGACATGGTCAGATGTGCATTTGAACAAGATGGTTTTCTCTGTAGTGAAGGGACTGGTATCAGGCAGATGGGAACATGAATTAGGAGACTGTTGGAAAAATCTGGTTAATGGGTCATGCCGATTGAGAGGAAGGCAGAGTCAGTGCCAGTGGATGGAGAGGTGGAATATGGACTAAGAAATGAAGGACTGGCTTTAGGCTTTCGGAAATTGGGTGGCTACTGCTGCCATTCTCTGAGATAGAAATACAGGAGGAGTGTGTGGTGGGAAGACAAAAGTCTAGTTAGGGACAGGCTGAAGGTGAGGTGCTTGGAGAGATTTAAGTGAAGATGTGTATGAACTACCTAGAACAGAAGGGGCTTTGTAGAGACAGAAAGAAGAGTGGTTACTAGGGTATGGGAAAAAAGGGTAATGGGACTGTAATGAAGACAGAGTTTCAGTTTGGGATAATGAAAAGTTCTGGAACTGGAAACTGTGATGGGTGTACAGCAGTGTGAACGTAAGCCACCGGATTGCACACTGCGAATGGTGAAAATGGTAAATCGGACCTCACACGTATTTTATTATAACAACAATAATAAGGCATATAGGCCTTTATTCCTAGAAAAATTTAGAAGAAAAATCAATGAAAGAAAGGGTATAGGTTGGCTCAATTCATGTTTCTAGAGAAAGTAATAATCAGCATCTAAAAGATGAATGTTTTCAAGAACAACAATAAAACTCCCAAATATACAATCAGATAATTCCTAATACTTTTCCCCTTAAGAGAATGTTTTACTAAAAAAACAAAACCTAAACTGCATTTAAATGAAAAGGTTCACAAACCTCAAACTGTATTAAAAACAAAGAAGGAAACAGAATGTGGCTTAGTCTTGTAAAATTCAAAGACTGAATAAAAATCTTGGCCGAAGGGAAATTGATGGAGAGAAAAATTTGCTAAGGGTTCATTTGAGATGACGGATAAGGTCGATGGTATTATTTACAGCCAACCACAGAGTGATAAGCCCTCTCCCAGGTTTTCCATTGCAACCAAGGGAACAGTCAGCTGAAAGTTTTGCTAAAAGAACATGGATGTTTTGTTTAATGAAGTCAGGGGTGGAGTGACACAAAGGGAATCAAAACAAAAACGTGAGTGGAGCTCTGGAACATTTAAAAAAATATCACACTTGAGCTTCATGTTTGTAATTTGCTCACATATTATTTGCATATAAGTATTTATAGATGATTTTTCTTTCTTTGTAGAGGTTTGTTACACGATGACAGTTTTCAACTCAAAATGGTCATCAAACACCATCTTTATAAGCATACATAAAAGTGCTCCATTTTTTTTTTTAATTTTTTATTGTGGGTTGTTCAAAACATTACAAATTTCTTGACATATCATATTCCACACTTTGATTCAAGTGGGTTATGAACTCCCACCTTCACCCTATACACAGATTGCAGAATCACATCAGTTACACATCCATTGATTTACATATTGCCATACTAGTGTCTGTTGTGCTCCGCTGCCCTTCCCATCCTCCACCCTTCCCCCTCCCCACCTCTCCCCTCCCCTCCCCTCCTCTCTCTCTACCTGCTCCACTGTATAACCCTGAGGGTCACCTTCCATTACCATGCAATTTCCCTTCTCTCTCCCTTTCCCTCCCACCTCTCATCCCTATTTAATGTTAATCTTCTTCTCCTGCTCTTCCTCCCTACTCTGATCTTAGTTACTCTCCTTATATCAAAGAAGACATTTGGCATTTGTTTTTTAGGGATTGGCTAGCTTCACTTAGCATAATCTGCTCTAATGCCATCCATTTCCCTGTAAATTCTATGATTTTGTCATTTTTTAATGCAGAGTAATACTCCATTGTGTATAAATGCCACATTTTTTTATCCATTCGTCTATTGAAGGGCATCTAGGTTGGTTCCACAGTCTTGCTATTGTGAACTGTGCTGCTATGAACATCGATGTAGCAGTGTCCCTGTAGCATGCTCTTTTTAGGTCTTTAGGGAATAGACCAAGAAGGGGAATAGCTGGGTCAAATGGTGGCTCCATTCCCAGCTTTCCAAGAAATCTCCATACTGCTTTCCAAATTGGCTGCACCAATCTGCAGTCCCACCAGCAATGTACAAGTGTACCCTTTTCCCCACATCCTCGCCAGCACTTATTGTTGTTTGACTTCATAATGGCTGCCAATCTTACTGGAGTGAGATGGTATCTTAGGGTGGTTTTGATTTGCATTTCTCTGACAGCTAGAGATGTTGAGCATTTTTTCATGTACTTGTTGATTGACTGTATGTCCTCCTCTGAGAAGTGTCTGTTCAGGTCCTTGGCCCATTTGTTGATTGGGTTGTTTGTTCTCTTATTGTCTAATTTTTTGAGTTCTTTGTATACTCTGGATATTAGGGCTCTATCTGAAGTGTGAGGAGTAAAGATTTGTTCCCAGGGTGTAGGCTCCCTATTTACCTCTCTTATTGTGTCTTTTGCTGAGAAAAAACTTTTTAGTTTGAGTAAGTCCCATTTGTTGATTCTAGTTATTAACTTTTGTGCTATGGGTGTCCTATTGAGGAATTTGGAGCCCGACCCCACCGAATGTAGATCGTAG